ATCTTAAAATCAAAGGCAAATTCATACTGCAGTATATCCCAACCAAGTTCCAGACACATAAATGATCCCACTGAAATGTTTCCATCTGCCATTTTTATACAGAATGGTTCCACCAATGGTAATGCAATGACAAGGTTTTCACAATACTAGGATCTACAAAGCTAGACGTACTCCCAGTATCAAAATGTTCACCCACATACCTTTGATCCTTCCTCTGACTTCCAAATCAGTATTTTCCATGTCACTTTCTTCTGTCACAATCAGATAAACCTTATTCATGCTACATTGATGGCCAGGGCCATATTTTTCGCCACATTTGTAACATAAATTATGGTTTCTTCTATGTTGGATCTCTTGGGGCGAGATTTTTTTGAATCTATCATTGTAAGCCATCTTCTTTTCCTTAGGTTTCCATCCCATTCGTGGAGTCTTCTGCCTGATGGTTTACAGAGTTCTACTTTTCCTTCTTTGCTTGGAAATCCAGGGTCATCTCTTGATCTATCAAAATTTCCATGGCTGTAACTAGATCTCTGGGTGCCATCACTACTACAAAAAAGGTCTTTAACTACTCTAAACTCCAAAGGATTAAGGACACTTATTTGAAAGTGTCATCATTGATAGCTTCTAGTGGCATTCAGCTTTTGTGACATTTCCTTCAATTAAAAACAAATTAAAATAAAATTAGTTTGGTCATTATCTCTCCTCAACAGCACATTGATTGTATATGCGTTATTTTTGGGTGAAATAACTTCTAAGACTTATCCAATTATTTTACATATTTTTACCATAAAAAATACTCATATTTTATTTATTTTTATTCCGGATGTTTCTGTTTCAGTCTCTTCACATCCCTTCTAATATAGTAATTTTTGAATTGCTCTTCTAGGCTAAGGACTCTTGAGAACTGCGTGATGCAGTAGTCGAGATGCTATATATTTCTCGCCAGAAGTAGCCGCGACGGAAGTATTGGGGTGTGGATATTGCGAATACAAATCTCGGAGGATTAATGTTGTCATGGGCTAGGATGCCATTTAAAGACCCTCCCCTCCATGAATTTGGTAAGCTAGGGTTTTTAATTGGTCGTTGTAAGATGTTAATTTTCTCAACCTCCAGATTAGTGTATGGTGAATTAGTATCTTTTTAGATCTTGGGATTTTTGAGTTCATTTCAACTTTGATTTTTCTACGTCAGGCCCTTTTTATTGAAAATTTGTGCTTGATTTAAATAGAGCATGAACAACAAAAGGCTCTGGATGCGCTGATTTCCTATTTGAAAACGCCGTCGGTGATGCTCGGAGGTAACTTTGTTGTTGTTTTAAGTCCATTATGCTTTAGCTTTTGAAAAGTAATCAATTCAAGTAACCCTTAAATTTTCTTTCCAGAGTTATAATCTCACTATATTATGATGAAGCTAAAGATTGTTTTAGCATATGGGATCATTTGTTTTCCTATAATTAAGTTAACATTTTACAGAATGATATTCAATTTATTTGAAACTTGGAAATTGATTTTATATGTGTATGATTGTAGTTACTAGTCAATGGAGAAATATGAATCTGGTGTTTATTTTCAGCTCTCTAGTATTATTAAATTCTATAGTTTTTGAGGTTTTGATATGGTTTGAAAATTTTGCAGCCCTTGTCTAAAAGAAGGAAGAGAAGGGATAGTCAAGATGTACTCAACTTATTTCTTTCATTCTGTTCAACTGGGAAAATGAAATAGAAGAGGAAATTTTCAATTTGAGTGGAGTCAATGTGGAGGCTAGGCGAATTGAAGGATACAATTGAGCAGACATCGACTCTTGGGGAATTCTTCAGATTCATGGCTTGTCGTTGCAAATCATGTGTTCTCATTTTAGTTGTGGTAGATAGTATGGATGTATTGGATAGTATTAGAATGAAGTGCAAGACAAATTGAAGATTAATGTTGTTTTTATTCCCCGTAATGCTTTGTTTGGTTGTACTCTCTTCTTTGGCTTTTATTAATGAAATGGAAAATTTATTTTTATTGAAAATTTTATAATTTTGATGAAAAGTATTTATGAGAATAATTAGAAAAAAATAAAATAAAGCCCATTGAAACTGTGAACATATAAATGACGTAAAAGCTATTATATGAAGACACTTAAAATGCCTCTACTATTATTTCTTGGAGAGTTTAAAGTGCCTTTATAAATTATTTGTTACAACATTTGCTAAGTGTCTTTAAAGAATATATATAATTACACTAAACCTATTATCACATTGAATTTAAAGGCACTTTTACAAAATGCCTTAATAAGTGTAAGTGTCTTTATAACCAATGTATTAAGGCATTTTAAAGTGTCTCTAAGAGGTATTTTTCTAGTAGTGCATCATCCTTACTACTGGTTTAATTTCTTCTTTCAAGCCGCTGATGAAACTCGAAATGAAGTATTGTTCAGTCCACCTTGGATCCTTTCTCAGGACTTGAGATTTCAGATTCTCAAACTGTTTGATGTAGTCTGAAACAGAACCACGTTGTTGCAGCTTACAAAACTCTTCAAACTCGTCTTTGCGCCCTCTGATTTCAAATCTTCGAACCAACGCAGTTGAGAACTCCTCCCAATTCAACCTTCCCCTGACCGTTTTGACCCCTTCAAACCAGATTTCAGCTTTATCTTTCAAACATAATTCCGCTGTACTCACCTTTGCATTCTCTGGGATCTGGTATAATGCGAAGTACTTCTCACATCTTCTAATCCATTCCCTGGGATTTTCCCCTTCAAAAGTGCTTAGCTCCACCTTTGGAAAGTTCTGGTGGTAACGGTCCTTAGAATTCCAAGGTGTATCATCTTCAATCACCACTCTGGGTGGCAGGTTGGGAGTGTTTAAAAGTGCCGGCTTTTCTGGATCTGGAGTAGAAGATTCTCCTTTAAACACAAAGTTCTCCTCCACCATTGTTTGCATCCAACACTCAATTCTCTCCCACCTGGCCTTAGATTGTTGAGCTTCTTCTTCAATGTTCTCTATTTGAGTTCTCAGACTTAACACAACATTATCCATGTTAATCAGGTTCATATCCAAGGATTGAATGTCGTTCTCAACCCTTTTTTCCATGGAAGAAATGGCAGCGTTGCCCAGCTTCTTCACATGGTCATCGCCCCCTTCTCCACGAGTTTCTACCATAGCCACTAACCACAGTCAGAAGATCCTAGCTCTAATAGCCAATTGTAACGATATTGAACGAATAATCCAGAAAAAGAGAATTCAGAATTCAGATTTTGGAGGGTTTAAGGTAGAAGGGGAAGAAAAGGATGAATAAGAACTTTTGATAGAGAGGATAGAGATAGAAAAGATTCCAAATTCATTCGATATCCAATACAATGCAGGCGCGTCTCTTTTTGATGAGTCATCGGAGGTAGCTGCCAGCCTTGCAACGGTAATTACATGGAAACGTCCTGAAGTTACTAGCAGAATTACACTTAAACAGCTAAACTGTAAAAGGTAAAAGAAAGAGGAAAACGTCAACTGTAATCTCTAATTGATCTCTGTTGCTTTGCCAAACAACGTCGCCCTGAAATCAATTGCCCCCAATTTGAAAACCTAATAGACCATAATTTAATTAACCTAGTTGACCATAATTAATAAATAATTAAACTGTCTGAAGCGTGACACAATCTCTTGAAAATCCCAAAAAGAGCAAATCTAATTAGTATATATTCCCCCTGGTGTGCAAAAAATAGTCCACCTTGTAAATTGTACTCAACAAATTATTCTTAAGACAGTACAATGCAAAATTTAAATTGTGAATTATTTTTACGGAATGAGTAAAAATCGTTAATACATTATACATGCACTAGCCTGGTGATAGAAGCACGCCTTTTAAAGAAAAAAATACACACTGTTAGAATTTTCACCTGAAAGTTTGATAAATTTTTTTTTATCCTCCTTTGTTTCCAAAAAAAAAAAAGCCCACTCTTTCCCGTCTTCTTCTTTTTGCACTCCCTCTGTCTTACCCCAAATCCAAATAATTATGTTTATTAAAAGAGGTCATAGGCTACCCGTTTGAGCTATTCTATAGTTCATAGCCTTGATTTGATTATTATGTTGTCACCTTTTTATATATGTTTTCGATTATCTATAGTTTAGTTTATCAAAAATGATATGTAAAGTGGGCAAAAATAGTGAAAAAGAACTACTGAGTGATGTGGAGTATTACGGCTCTCTTATTCTTTTGGCCATTTTCCGGTTGAAATTTTATTTTTACTGTAAAATTACATTTTTATTCTTAATTAATAAGTACACATGTTTAGTGAGTGTGGTATATTTGCCTTTTCATAAATCTCTGCCTAATTTTACTATAATTTGCCACTGTACCTATTATTTCTCTTAGTTTATAGCCTTAGTTTGATTATTATGTTGTGACCTTATTATACATGTTCTCAATTATCTAAATTATTGAACACGTGCATGATATTGAAATAGTGGTTTACGAAGTTCCGAACGCTGGAGGGGTTTGGAAGACGTAGTAAAAACAAGCAAACACAATTAAATGACTTTTTCATTGTAGTAATTTTTTGTTAAGACTTTTTTCAATAAATTGGCTGATAAAGCACCCATATAAAATTTCAATTCAAACTGAATACGAGATCAAATAAAACTACTCCCAAGATGAGAAGCTGATAAATTTGGTTTGTCCGTTGGACGAAAAGCAACCAACATCTCCATAATTTGGAATTATAACAAAAATTAGATATAGTTCCTTTTTTAATTATAGAAATAATAATTAAAAATACAATTAGTGAGGGTGGAAATGTAGTAAGGCGGAGTAAACCCTCAAAAGTCTTTGGTTCAACTCTGGCGAGTAGTAGCAATAACAAATTTGCACTAAACAATAATGTTTAGATATTGAACGGCAAGAGAACGAAACTCAAAAAAAAAAAAAGTTTATACGAATTCTATTATTTCAGTCGTGCTCAAAATAACTCTTTATAGCTTGTTAATACCTTCTAAGAAGAGCTAGCAACCTGGCAGATAAAATTTACATGGGAAGAGGAACCATCTTCCGACATAAAGGACACGTTTGATGGAAGGCCAACCATATAGCAATACAACCCGAATGAAACCTATGCCCACATCCCGGAATATCGCTCCACATGCACGGAGCCGATGATGATGAAGATCGCCGACGCGAGCTTTCTTCATCGCCGTCCTCATAATTGTTAGAAAGACATATTGAACATTCAGAATGACCACCATGACTGTATCCTAGAATATCAATAATCACATCTTTAGAAGGAGCAGCCACCGCGGCCGGAGATTCCGGCGAAGTATCAATAATTATCACTTGCCGGCCGGGAGAATGCGCAGAGTTGATGGCGACAATATGGGAGGTCTCATCGCGCATGCGATTTCTTATTTCGCGACGGAGAAATACAAAACTACAGAGGCTAGCTGTGATAGCCAGAGCAAGATATCCAAGCAAAACAATGTCCATTTTTTTCATACAACGTTGATTCCGAAGTAATATGTCTGTAATTGTAATTATTAACCAAAAGGATATTCTACTCCGAGGATATTAACCAAAAGGATATAGACTTTCAAGATTTTGTAGTTGTGTTTTTGCGCTGCTTATATAGGCAAAGGCATTATTTGTTTGGAAAGTTACCAAAAACTGATGGAAGAGAAAGAACTGTGAACCGCAGAAAAACTTTCCTATCCATGATTCACTTTCCAAATTAACCGAGGAAACTGCTCTTACTAGAAACGAAATAGGAAACACAACTAAAAATTTTGCTACAAACTATAAATACAAATATACAATTTGCGGTGCCATGTCCAATATGCGTTCTCCTGATTACAAATGAGAAAAAAAAAAAAAAAAAAGGAACCGATGACCAATACTATAAAGTACCAAAAGAAAAACGTAACAGTTAATTCGTCAATATCCTTCTATTAAAAATTCTTAATAAATTTTAATTTAATACTCCAAAAAAAAAAATTGTATCAGAAGTTATGTACAGGATGTCTAGATTTATCCATTTCTATTAGAAAGAATACATTAAAAAAAACAGCAATTCTAGGAATGTTTTATTACCGTCTCTCTTCTTAGTAAAAAAAAAGGCAAAAACCTAATTAAAAAAATAAAAAACATGTCATGAGTAGGAACCAATTAGGTCATTACAGTCACTTAATTCAGGCTTGCAAAATAATACTCCCTCCATCTCACAAAAATAGTCAACATTGAGGTTTTAGATTTGTACTGTTTTTAGTATAAATTTGAAACTCAATGTGAACTATTTTTGTAGGACGGATGTAGTATTATAATGAGACGGGACTAAGTTTTCACATCCCATCGTGGAGCAACCATAAGATTATTAGCTACTTACATCTCGCAAAATACGTCTGCCCAACATTTGTCTGAAACACAGCTTGGGGTTGTCTCTCAAAATAGCAGCAGCATCATCATAAAGAGGGTCCTTGTGATTTGGTTCCGTTAAAAGATGACTTAGTGATCCATAAACAAAAATGTTAATGTTGAGGACAAGTTTCCAGTCTTGGCAATACGTCGTATTCTTATCTTCTATAGTTTCATCGCTACTTTTTCAATCTAACATGATTTTGCAATCAGAAAGTCCAATTTTAAAACATCTGTTTGTTACTGCAACTCAAGTGTTAAAAGCATATATATATTTATATATATATATATATATGACAATCTGTAAGAACGTCTTCCGTTTCAAGGTCGAACAATGCTTAATTAAATTGATCATTGCAATTTAACCAACGTAATGTTTGCCTATATATGTATATATTCTTTGTACTTTATAGTAATATAATATATAAGAAAAATTTTCATTGAAAGCGGGTATTTATAATTAAGAGCTAAAATTTCCGGAAGATTTTCTAGTTTCTTTTGCATCTTCATGCCCAGATGGGCCGGAGTAGTTGGATAATCCCCATTAAGAATAGTTACAGTAGTGTAACAACCCATATGGTTCCTTAGGGTTAATATATACCTTCTATAACACAACATATTATCTAAAAAGAGGCTAGCAATTTGGCACATGATATTTTGACATTGGAAGAGGAACCTTTATTCCCAACCGATCCAATATATCCTCCAGACTTCCATGACGAATTAAGGCAAAGGTGTGAAAAGAGAACCAACAACGTCAGCACTCAATTTTTCTTCATCTTCTCCGTTGTGATCTCATTTCGGAACTCACGACTACGAATCGCTGACCAGAAGAAGGGGCCTTGATGAGGGAGGAAACGAATAAAAGATCAGGGTTTTAGTTATTTTGGTCTAAGAATTTTTTAGTCATTTTTTAGGAGATTAGGGTTATATTTTTATGTCATCTTTTCTATTTAAAGGTTTTGGCAGCCTTATATTCAGTTGTTGATTTTTATAAAAGTTGAGAGTTCATCTTAGAAAATGCCAAGGTGTTAAACTTTGATCCCTATTTATGGGTATTCTCAGAATCAACGAAATTTAGGAAGGTTGTATTTTCGGGTATTCGTAGAATCAACGGTTTATAACGGGTTACTTGTTAGAGTTCGAGATATAGACTTCCGCCTGTTACATCAGGCCCGAACAATCAATTGTAGAAGAGTATTTCCTCCATAAGAAGTTATTTTGATTTGTTATAAGTTTTACCTAATACGTATTTTTAATTGAAAAGAAAAACCTTAAAATTATATTTTCACATTCGTTGTATTCTTTTGATATTATGAAATATTTTTAAGGTTTTTTTTGTCAATTAAAAAATATTATTAGTTAAAAATTAGGACAAATCAAAATGCCTTTTGTTAAGGATCCGAAGGAGTATGTGTCAGACGATGGATCCACATTTCGAAGAAGACTTCACCTGAGCCTTTGGTATTTGCTTCTTGTAGTTGTTTCTTTCGTGGTCATTAATTGGTTGAGGTTGTTCTGTCTTTTTGTTGATCGAGACCTGCTTGATCCAGTTTTCATTCATTACCCCTTTGGGCTAAGAAAAAACAAAACCAAAAAAAAAGGTACGGAAAGAGGAAATAAAGACACAGAGAACGCAAAGTACAATTTATATCCAAATGCATGAAGTGTAATATGTTCATTCAATTTGAGTGTTTCACCTGCTGTGGGTTTCGGATTCAATATCATAACTAAAGCAGAAGCATATGATAGAAGGTCGCAAGAATTAAAGCTAATGAGTCTTGATAAGCCAATTACTCCTATAAATTAAAGACTAATTAATAGCCTCAAAGAGATCATTTAGAAGAATATCAACAGCCTTAAATAACTTTGCATTTTTCGGAGATCATATTAGGGTCAAGAAAAAGGGAAAGCTAAATCATGGAATCCAAAAAATAAAAATAAAAATGATTTTGCATGACTACACAACATTATTTCTTTGTCTTTCCGTTAAAAATTTTGATTTTTTTTTTTTTTTTGAACGAATGGAGAAGATTTTAATAGACACACCTTGTATTCTTGGGGTGGAATAGGATATAGTTTTGATTAATTAGTTTTTTTTTTTTCTTCACGAAAACGTGCCACTTGGTAGTTATTCTTAATCGAAATTAATGGAAATAGGAATTCTATGGCGGTGTTCTTTTGTTAGCATCCATAAACCATCTGCGCCACCAACCGCTTCAAGCCTTCCTTCTCAGCATTTTTTTTTTTCTGCGGAGCTGATTTATGGGTCTAGGGGGTTTAAGGCATCTGTATCCCTCCCTAAGGAAGCCCATATATAAGACATCTATTTTTTTTTTATTTTCCAATTCCAACCAATAGATTTTTTTCCTCTCTCTCTCTCTTGCTAACACGAGTAGAGAGATTCATATACCTATGTTTTGTTTTGTTTTTTGAATTTTGTTTTCTCGTCAATTGTGGTTCTCTCGCCAGTAGATTATGGTATGATTGGCGATTTGGTCACATAAGGGCATCTCCAACCAAGACACCCAAATGCTAAATTTGGTGTTTTTGTGTAAAGATTGTACTCCAACGAATACACCAAATCGTTACACTATTTTATTGTAATGAATAATTTTATACCAGATTCAGTATAAATTGGTCACTACACCATTTTTAATACACTATCTTTTTACTTTGATCTAAATATATGTATTCTATGTAATTGAACTTGTAAAACGAATTATGTTTTGAAAATTATATCATATTAAATATTTTGTTAAGATCTTTAAAATAAGACCCATATTGAATATAAAATATATTTTTTATAATATAAAATTGAATATGAAATAAAATTGAAAAAAATGATATTTCAGCAATTAAATAAAAAGCGATTATAAGAAAGAAATTTCACAAAATTATCAACAAATTACAAGATTTCAATTAACCACAAAATAAAATTTAACCTAAAACATAAATATTTAAACTATTTGGTGCATCAAGGTTTGAGAGCAAAGAACTTTGATATAAAAAGATTCTTGGAATATTCTATTTTTACACTAAACTTAGTGCAAATTATAGTGAAATGGTTGGAGATGTTCTAAGTACTAAAATTATTTATTGATCGACATCATGATTTTTTGCATCGACGGACTTGTGGGTTTAAATCCATTGCTCAACCTTCTGCCAAATGATCAAATTTCAACTTTAAATAGACTTTAATATTAGAATAGATTTTTTAGTTAGATCTATAATTTTGTGTTTATCCTTGATAAACCTGCACGAATATTCCCATATGACAAATGGACATATCATCCGAATATGACTAATTTCAAATACATCAGTAATTATTACGTAATGTAATTTCAACACCACGGTCTTGCTAATAAACCAATCTACAATGACAAAATTATCTCGGAAAGATATCTTAGCTAGCGAACCCGCAAAAACATCACCTACTATTCTACAAATATTGAATCTTGGAACCACGAATAAGCCTCAAAAATCGTTGTCAGAAAGATATAGCAGTGATCTTCTTTAGAATGGCGTTCCGAAATATCAATAATCATGTCTTGAGGAGGTGACGTGGCGGCTGGAGACGGCTGTTATAAAAAGCAGCCTCCAAAATGTACCGTATGCGTATATGACCCATTGTTCTTGTTGTAGTCTTCGTCTTCTTCTAGTTCGTCACAGTCACATAAGCTTGTTAATAACACAAGACAAAGACAAGCGTTTCCAAACCCTAGGACAATAGATCCTAAATCCAGCATTGTTAAACTCGCAAGGTTTGGAATCCAAAAGGGCTGCTTTTGGATCAGTTAATGATTTATTACTCGGTTTTTATAGATCAAAAGGTCAACTTGAAGGTGTTCATCTTCGTTCAATTGTTCGTACTGTTTGCATTTTTTTTTTTTGTTATATTAAAGTTGCATAATTCTGTGCCCTAAATATTCTTGGATTTTGAATCCTGTTTGTTTACGAGTACCTCTCGGATTACTATTCCACATTTGGACAAATACCATGTTAATGTATATATATTAAGATTAGTTTAGGGGTATTGTTGTAATTTTATTATTGCCATATACACTATAAATATTGTT